TTATTAATGCTACTGCTGTAAAAATCACTATATGACTTATTGTTATAATCGTAAGTGTTATCTTGTGGCCTGTTGATGTTATTAATGTTGGCGCTACTGCTGTTGTTGTTGACATTAATAATGTTGTTATTGTTGGAATATTTGTTAAAATGTTGCGTCAACAAATGTTGCCTGTTTATTTCTTGCGTTCTCAACTTGTCTTTGTCCGCCTTCTTTGTCTTGTACCGATGGTTTTGGAACCAGATTTTCACCTAGGGTGATGAAGTTACAATGAGTGATTGCCGTTATTGTTGTACCAAGAAGAAGGCAATAAAAGAAATACGTAATACAATGATGAAATAGTTTATAGAAGAAAGGTTTTAACACTTAGGAAAAAAATTACAAGCAAACATATAAACATCCGAACACAGATAAACATACGCACACGCACGCAAACACACACACGCACACACACACATGCACACACACACACACACGCACACACGCACTCGTAGATACCTGCGTAGGACTCAATCCAATCATGGAAGACAGTTGATCTCTTTCAGCAGCAGAAAGATACTTCTGTCTCCTAAAAATTTTTTCCAACTGATGAATTTGAAGCTGGTTAAACAAAATTCTTCTCTTTCGACGCTGCTCTAGATGATGGTAGGAATGATGGTGACTGTGGTGATGGAATGGTTGATACTGTTGGTGGAAATAATGGAATGGTGGGTAAATTTTGGGTGGTAGGTTGTGGTAGCCGTACCGAATTGGGTATGGGTAGAAGTTATGAATGGGTGAAGTGGGGCATATAAAGGGATGTTTTGTGGTGGTCGGACATATTTGAGTAAGAGATGATGATGGTGGGTTTATTTGCGATGGTGACTGTGGCAAATGTTTTATGGTTGAAAATGACTGGTGTAATTTGTTGAGTTGTATTTGTTGCGTTGTTAACGTTGCAGTTTTTAGCACTTCATCAGCTTGTTTGTTGCTGTTCTTGACAATGTTGTTGTTGTTGCTGCTGCTGTTGTTGTTGTTGTTGTTGACGATATTGTTGTTAATATCGTTTTGGTTGATGTTGTTGTGACGACTGACGTTTGATGTCTTAATATCGCAAGTTGAATTTACGATATTGCTGTTAAAGTTGATGTTATTGTTGTTAATGTTTTCCGCGGCAGTTGTTTTGTTGTTGCCACTAAAGACATCAATTTTCATGCAAGAATTTTCTTTAGAATCAATTTTGACTGTCGACTTACATTTAACGCTTTTGTTCCCATCAGCACAATAGACGTCTGTAATACCATTGAGATTGTTTTTAAGAGTTTTGTTGATAGTGTTATTATTATCATTATTGCTGTTGTGCATGTCATTGCAGTTGCTGTTCATCACTTTGGTTTTAATATCTTCAAAAGTGAATTTTGTTTTGTCGATGAAACTTTCCATGCTCTGCTGTGTTCGACCAGCATTCAAATTAATCATTCTCATCATGTGTAGTTGTATGTCGTTGATTGAATGTGTCTCCTTATCATGCTGTTGTTGTTGTTGATGTTGTTGCTGCTGTTGCTGCTGCTGTTGGTGTCTTAGATTAAAATTTTGGTTTTCAGATAGTTGCAGTTGATTTTTTTGATGTTTGGTTTGAAGACTGCGCTGATATTGTTGTTGATGTTGTTGTTGAGCGTCATGTTTTTGTTGTAGATGAGTTTGTGAATGAATTTGTTGTTGGTCTTGTTGTTTGTTTAGAATGGGTTCCAGCTGGGTTTGCTTCAGTTTTACAATAGGTAGTTGTTGTTGTTGTCGTGGGTCATTTATATGCTTTTGGCATCTATTAATGTGATGTTGTTGTTGTTGTTGTTGTTGAAGTATTTGTTGGAATATTTTTTGTTGAAACAAGTGTTGTTGTTGTTGCTGCTGATGTTGTTGGATGGATGGAGTTGATAACAACTGGCATTTCGTTTTAACGTGACGCCCATCAAATTGGTTTGAAATCGTCACGTGCTCCTTCTTATCAAACTGGTCACGTGACTGATCAGAGTTGATGGAGTGCAGAATGTCACTCATGTAAAACGATTTCCTTCTCAACTCAGTCATTTCCCTTCCTGGTTCTTGAAATTTTTTGAAAATTTTCCGATAGTTTTTTTTCTGTATGAATTAAAAAATTTAAATCAAAAAATGTTTAGAACGTTTATGAAGAAACATTTTTTAAAACATCAAAAAAATTAGTTTTTTTATTTTTAAAAACATTGGTTGAACAAACATTATCTGCGTTTCACTAGTACTTAAAAGCAAATCACCATGCTATTGACACGCGTCACAATGCGTAGAATATTTCTAACAAACTATGTCATCATTAAAGTCTTTCTGAGTACTTACAATAAAGTACCAAGTAAGATTGAGTAGCGAGTAAAGTATGTAGTAGTATAAATTATCTCTCCTTCCCATCTGTCAGACATACTCATCCTACTCATCGAGCAGCCGAGTGGAAAACTCACTTAAGCTAACATGAGTGTTCATTTACTACCTACCACTGCTTCGAAACCGCCATCAATGCTGCAGCACGAGTGCCACACAAGTTCGACTAGATGGACAAATCTACAATTATTGTTAATACTGGATAAATTTGTAGTGGTAAAATGACATTTCAATAGCTGCGTTTCAAATCGATTAAGTTTATATATATATATAATGTTTTTGTAAGAAATAATGGAATATTTGTAAATAATATTGCTTTATATATTGTATATATATATATATATATATATATATATATAAGGATAAATATGTGATTACACGATGTGTGATTCAATCTGAAAGTTGAAGTCGTCTATTGTGATGCTGCTCTCCTCCTGCAAGTAATTCACTTTTTCCTCTAATGAAATGTAACAACGTCTACAACATCAAAAAGTCATGCTGATAATGAACACTGCTTTGAAATAAACAAGAACTCATGGAAAAACCTACGGTAAACGCATCGCTATCTAGCTCAGAACGCACAACAAAATTGTTTTCAAACCCAACTAGCACATAGAGCACAAGAAAAAAAACAAAATGACCCACCTATAAACAAATAATTTAACGTAATCTTCTTCACTCTCACTCTTATTTTTCAATAACCAGCAAAGTAACGTGAAAAAATTATCATAAAACACCCCGAGAACAAATACTGCACACACGTGTTGTCCGAATTTATATAGAGCATTATTTTTGAGTCAAGTGGGATGTCAAGTGTTCACCTCGCTTAGAGGCACGTCCAAAACGATCCAATCAGAATTAAAGAGGCGTGACTTCAATCTGTCAATCAATCGTGTTTCATAGAGTCCAGTGCATGTAGCATTACGAACATTTCTAAACGAAAATGTTTGTCTTGTTTTTATTTATTTATTTGTTTATTGTATTTCCATATATTTATTTTCTCAACTTATATCTACAAATACAGAAACATTACATATATAATAAATCTGAGACCAACTAAACCGTCTTGCTAATATATGCAGTGAGAAAGCAACGCAACTAATTCAGAAACAAAATAACTAAAAAAATTAAACTCATGAATTGACATAAATACACCCATAAAGTTTACATAGACACTCATACAAACACATTACTAATCTGTACTTCAACAACTTAGCGGTACATTTACATGCGTGGACTTTCGACACTCGACAACGACATCCAGCACAACATTGCACGTCTCACGTATCGCAAACACGAATGACTCGCCTCAATCATAGATATGCAACCATGAAACCTACACGCAAAGATATTAAGCGTGACTAAACTCTTCTTATCTTGCCAACGTGTGTTTCATAAAATTGTTCAAACTTTGGTTAAGCAATTAGGGATTAAACCTTGCAATTTATAGGATAAAATTTTACGAATATTTTGTAAGCAAGGTTTGTTTTTTTTATAATCAATTTGAGTTTTCAATACAAGACGCCTTTTCATTTTGAACATCGAATCAATAAAACACAAGAGCTGACTGATAATATTTTAACAGATTTTTACTACAAATAAAATATATGTGCAAATTATTAAATGAAAATTTTTGAAACGTGAATCACAACCATTAAAAATCTTCGACATGTATGAATAAATTTTCAATTTTTTCGAGCAAAGATTGTTGTAAGGGTCGTAAAAGCATTGGGCCATCATCATTTCCCTTTCAATTTTTATTCAATCATTCTTAATATTTAATTACAAATAAATTTGTTACTAGATTTTTAATGCTATTAAAAAAAACTTAAGTAAAAATGTATTTATTTACTGGTCCTTGGGCAAGCACATGAATCTCATGTCTAACTTCTCAATCTTCTCTCTCAGCTCGTACAAATAATCTTTGTCGCATTTTTCACGTCTGTGTTAATTCAGTTCTACCTAAATTACTCTTATTAAACTGAATAATAATTATCAATAATATAATTAAATATTATAATTAAATAATATTATTATATATTTAAAAGAAATAAAATTCATTCAAACTTCTCAGATCTCAATGATGAAACAATGTGGATCGTGATGTTCGGCAGTCTGCTCACTTTTATGCGAGAGAGTATTCTCTCTATGAGACGACTGAAATTATTTAAAAAATACAAATATATATATATATATATATATATATAAATATTTAGGGAAAGAGAGAAAGAGAAAGAAAGACAAAGAAAAAAGAGTCAAACGGAGAGAGAGAGAGAGAGAGAGAGAGAGAGAGTTTGTGAGACTAGTTCGTCTGGTTTACACGTGATGATAACCAAAATTTCACTTTCAAAATATATAATTATAGCCTGGAATATAAAATTAATAATCTGAAATCTAAAAACAAGATTACTTGGCGATGAATAAATGCTTATCGATCGTATAATCGACAACAAGATGGGCTGGACCTTCAAAAATGTGTGTCGCTATCTGTAGAAGAACATGGAACAAATGGAATGAGAGAATCAAAAACCAAAATTACATTTTTTAGCGTTGTTAGATTTAATGGAATGCATGTTTTATCATTACAATCATCAGGAGTGTTAAAATTTACAAAAACATCATTTTTTCACTTATAATTTGGTAACAATACAGATGGGAAAACTTCAAGAAGAAACACAGCGCCAACAATTTCTAAGTAGTAGAACCAGGTGTCAGCGACGTGACATCCCCCGCATATGTCATTTTTTTTTTCGGAACTGTAAAGACGTCTTGGACCATATTTATTCAGGCAGTATTGCGGAAACGGTTTCATAATGTACCCTTTTATAATTATCATTTAACTGGTTTTAAATCATTTTTGTGTAATATCTCACTATATTTTTGACTTCAATTGATTTCAAGTTAATTATATTTCAAAAATTAGATTTGAAAATGAAAAAAAAAACACAGTAAAGTGGAAACCAAAAAATGTATCTTCTAAGAGGTTGTATTTGGGACTCAACTGGCAATACCGGTAGACAACGCTCCGCTGATTGTTGTGCCAAAATAACGTCTACGTGAATTTGACAAAATAATAATTAAACAAATTAAATAATAAACGTATTATTAGACAAAAAATTTTTTAACAATTATTTAAAATAATCAGTGAAATCATATTTTAAAATGTGAAAATTGTACTTTCATTGGCTGTTCATAGCCGACATATGTCTCAAAGAACAGATTATCAAACCCGGATTCTTGGCAGTCATCAGTCTTGTTCAAAACATTTTCAAAAACCTCCCACAAATACGTGCAATTTTTTGGTCTCCAGGGTTATGTGTAAAGTAAAAATCTTAACTTGAGTATAGGAATCGAAATATAGTGTACTTGAAATTTAACGATGAGAGAGAAACATTAACAGTTTAATTAAAACCCTAACGATGATGATAATAATAAGAAGATGAAGAAGAAAAATAATATTAAACTGATGATGACGATGATAATATTTACTCACTTCTTGACGAAAAGATCAGGTCTAATGACGGTTGTGAACTCAAAACAGCGTGCCAGAAAAATTTCTTTCGTGTGAATGACGTTGTTGCTAAAATTACCATCAAAACTTAAACCGCTATCTTCTAGAGATAGGACTAAGAAAATGGCTAGCAGTTTGAATTTTTCCATAGCAGAAAGTGACAATTGGGATTGATTTATTGTGCTTATTACTATGACGTCTGGTTTTCTGAGTTGACGTATCTGTGATTAGACGTAACTGAACTTGAACGTCTGAGTGCAAGTTTGAAAAGATTCGGCAGGTAGGTATTTCAAATTTATAAACAAATCGTATAAAGTATTATTTAAATTAAGAAGTAAACAAACTTTGTCGGACGCATTTTAATAAATTTTAAACATTAAAACACACATACACACACACGCACACATACCAAAACGCACACGCACACAAACACGAACGCACACGCACACAGATGTTTCCAAACTGCGATATAAAATAAAACTCTTGGAACTTTGTCAAAGGGTAATAATATTATTTCCAATAAAATAGGAATAATAGGAAATAATAATAATAAAGCTATACAAAAAGCAATGAAAACAAGACAGCTATACAACATGTAAATTTTTCAATTTTATAATTTTTCAATGCAAAACTGGAAAATACGCTCGGCATTGGGCAGATCTTGTTCCCAGGGCAGGCACGGTTGTCAGGGTCATTGGCGCATTGGAAGTAAAGAATGCTTCTTTAAAAAATTTATTATTATTTTCATTCTTATTATTAATTGTTTTTTGTTGGTTAGTGGTAGTAGTTGTAGCAGCAGTTTTAGTAGTCGTAGCAGCGGTTGTAGTAGTCGTAGCAGAAGTTGTTGTAGTAGTAGTAGTAAAAGTAGTCGCAACAGTAGTAATGGTAGAGTAGAAGTATTAGTTGTAGTATTTGCTACCTGCTATTGAGATCACATTTAAATAGTATGCCTTTCTTCTCAGTTAATTGTCTCAGTGATTTAACCGATCCAATTGTACATAGTTCACTGCGTGTGTACGTGTGTGTTTGTGTGTGTGTGTTTGTGTGTGTGTGTTTGTTTGTGTATGTGTGTGAAAGTGCGTTTGTATCTGTGTGTTTAGTTGTGTGTGTATAGTATTATATAATAATAGTAGTGGTAGTAATAATATTTGTATAAGCGTAGCTCTTATGGCAGTAGTGTTATTAATAATAATAGTAGTATTCTACTACTACCACATATTTTGCTACTAAAACTACTACAACTGCTGTTATTTCTACTACTACTACTACTACTACTGCTACTACTACTGCTACTACTACTGCTACTATTTCTATTACTACTGCTGCTACTACTGCTACTACTACTGCTACTACTGCTACTACTACTGCTGCTACCTCTAACACTATTTCGTCTACTGATACAATTATTACAACTGCAATTTCTACAACTGGTGCGGCTATTATTTATATTAATAATAGTATTAAAAATGATAATAATAAGGATCAAAATAATAATAAAAACAATAAAAAAAATGATAAAAACAATAAAAATAATAATAAAAACAATAAAAAGAATAATAAAAAAATAAAAAGAATAATAAAGATAATAAAAAGAATAATAAAAAGAATAAAAATAGTAATGTAAAACTGACATGGGATTCCCACCGAGGTTGGTAACGAGATGGACGAAGAGAGTGTGCGTGTTGTTTTTGCTCAAGTGCACGAACTCGCGCGTAGCAAACATGCTTCAATCGAGATTTATGAGAAATTTTTCTCACAATTTTTTGAAATATTAATAATCCATTAAAGTAACTATTTTTTAATTGGAATTTACTTGATTAAAGATTAAATTAGATTATGTTAGTTTGTTTGTCGATAGCATGTCGATAGAATAACACGTGCGTGCACGCACCACCGGAGAATGTAGTGAGTACATCATTATAAGCAATTTGTTAAAAACTCAATAATCATTCCAGGTGTATGAAACAATATTACATCTAGCTCTGGATGATTTTCATCTAAATTATTGCTGCCCCTTTTTGTGGCGGTCCCAGTACTAAACTCAGCCTGACATTTTCTACGTCCGGGCGTAATCATCATCAACATCATGTCCACATATTATCATCATCGACATCGCGTTCACATCATCATCATCATCATCATCATCATCATCATCATCATCATGTTCTTAATATTATCATATATCGTCGTCGTCGTCGTCATCATCATCATCATCACCTGTTCTCCTTGAAGGATGGCACAATGCTGGCGTTCAGCATCAAATGCACGGTGCCTTTTACCTTCTTAACAAACTTATCAAAATTTGAAAAATAAAATTAATTGATCAGTTAACTCGTTAAATTTTCTAAAAAAAAAAATACCCCGATTTTATAATAAGATTAAACCCACACCCATAGACAGACAGACAGACAGACACACATACACATACACATACAGAGTGAGCTAACGTGTAGTGCAGCTTGTTCTCTAAATGAATCAACAGCGTTGCCCGAACAGTTTAATTGCCCGGGACATTGAACGTAATTTATGCCTGGCTCCTCCACCTGTCCACACCATACTTCAACGTTCTTTAAAACGTACGCTGGGCATATTGAGTATGATAAAAAATTGTCAACAGATTTTGGAGTTTTAGCATTCAACATTCACGAAAATGATACAATTCATCTTACATAACGATGTACGTACGGTTTTGTCTTCATATTTTTTTTTAATTTTCCAAACTCACACGTGTACGAGAACATAGGAAAAAATTTTGCACCATATGTTTTGCGTGCTATAGGCTGAATTTATTAGCTTTCTAACCAAGCTACCATCAAGTAGAAAATATTGGCATCAATGTTAAAATATGACTTAACTCTTTTTTTTAATTTAAAACTGAAAAAAATGAAACTGAAAAATGAAAAATAGTGAAAATGGATGTCGATCCAACCGGCTAGTTGGTCTCTTTTTGTGACAAACAACTTGCTGTGTTCTGTGTAAGCTGTAGCGAATTCCTCCATTCCACTCCAGAACATGGTCTGCAGTGGTAATGTCAGAAAATTATGCTTATATAAATAATTATACAAAAACAAACTTTGAATTATTAACTTGTTAATTTAAATTAAAAAACTTATTAATTGTTTTGTGTCACCTTACCCTTTATATTACTCAACTCAATCCAAAAAGTTGCAACTTTTGTCTTAACATAAACAAAGAAGTACAATCTTTTATGGGTACTCACACACGCCCACAAAAAAAAACCAATTAATCAATTATCTAATTAATCAACCACATAATTTAATTGAATCCAAATTAAAGCACAATCCTAACACCTGATCCACGGTGTTCAACTGGTGGTCAGCTGCATCAAGAAAACTCTGGTAGTTTTCAGGGTGCACGCTGCACGGGTCTTTCAGCTTGAATGCGTTGGTGAACTTCTTCCAAAGCTCGTTACAGTTTACATTCCTGGGGGGATGATTTAATTTTATAGTATTGTATTAGTATTGATACAGTATCATTTTTTTCATATGGTGTGGCAGGGTACTGTTTGGTGCCGATGTTGGTATCGAACCGTATTGCATCACATGGTTTGGTATAGTATCGTATGGTATTGGTATCATGTATAGTATCGTTTGGTGTACCTAATATTATCATGATATCATTGTGTGATTGTGCTGTATCTTTATTGATACAGTATCGTATGATAGGGTATCGTATCGTTTGGCGTGGTGTGATATGGTAATATGATAATAATGTAGTTAGTTGAAGAAATGAAAATGAAAAAGTTTAGTCAAATATAAAGTCACAGGAATCATGAGCAGAAATAAATATTATTTGACTGACATTTCAAAGAGTTCTGGCCTCAAAACATCCTGATACTCCTGGCACCTGGCGATGAAACTATTTTTCAAGAATGTGGATGTCCCAGTGCCGCTAGTAACATTTGAAAGGATTTCACTCAAATGAAAGGATTCAACGAAAAATAACACGAGATGCATGGCCGCACACAGCTGCCGAAAGTGCATCTTTGCTTCTATTTGTGTTTGATATTATAGTACTGGCTCTTTTTTTATAATTTTGCGAATGTTTTAATTTTCATTCATACTAATTCCGTCACATAATTATGCTATTTTATAAATCTTCATTAAAGTAAATGTAAATAAATAAACACTGACGAAACAAGAGATAAACAAACATTGACATTTATACGCGTTGAAACACGATTACCGTTGACTTATTCAAATGGCTGATGTGGACCACTTTAATCCGGATTTCAATTTTAATATGATAGGAAGGGCCAAAAACTTTGTTGGCTAAACTTAACTTAACTTAAGGGGGCTTGGTACTTTTCTAACTCCGCCTCTGATTTATTCAACCTTACATTTCAAATGCATGTTGAAATGAAGATGCTACTTTTATTTATATGTGTGAATATTTCATGCTAATGTCTCTTAGTAGTTTAAAATTTGCTCTTTCAAACCAAAAAAGCTTAAAAGCTTAATATAACAATTCGAATACCTTTCTTACATTCAAAAAAATTGGTTTCTTTTTCTGAAAAGATTAGCTGAAATTTTAAAAAAATTGCGTTTTCAAAAATAATTTTTCAATAAATATTGAAAAAACGACAATTTTTGTTATTTTAATTGATTTTTTCAAATATTTAATAAAATAAACTGATAAGAGACAAATCATGGCAAAGCAAATTAATATCAAATTATCATCGATCACACACACGTACGTACAAGTAGGTAATAACAAATGGAGCATACGTTCTCGCGATGATTCATTGAAGCAACACGAATAAGCACACATGCACAAGCAGACGTGCACTCAAATAAAAAAAATTCACACGCATACGCATTTACTTATACACACATACGTAGTACAAACATTCGCGTATTCACACATACACACGTGCAAAGCAAACACCAAATCACACTCAAAATATACATACATCACCATGTAACATTATCAAAAGACATTTGAAACCTTTAAAAATATTAATGCAAAAAAAGAAAATAAGCTTTAAACTTATACAGTAAAAACCAAAAAACTCAATTAAAATACTCATTTATTAACTTAGTGACTGAGTCTCATTATATTAACTTCTACAATTCATTGAACATAATATATAGAAATTCTTAATAAAACTTCATTCCTAACCGCCAATTTGTTAATTAGCATCATAATTCACCATAAAACGACCAAAAAATACAAACTAGATAATCGCAAACAGTAGTTAACGTGTTCAATCTTGACAAAAAGAAAAATATGATCCACTACAAACCAAGTGAAACAACTAAATTGCATATTTTGATCGTTTCACTCAAATACTTCTCCATCAGTTTCAAACAGAAGAAGAACGATACAACGCTAAAAACAAACACAGTAAATGAGTTATGACGACTCCATCTAGGCTGTTGGCCCCGTTCTCACCAGACGACTTCTGCTGTTTTTGTTGCGAATTACCGTGGGCTATATCAGGGCAGACCTGCTCTTGGGGGCACCCCTTGTGATCTGCTGCGTCAACACATTGGAAGTGGCGTATGCTCCTTTGGGAAGAAGAATTTTTTAAATTTTGAGTTTAATTTTCTGTTGGTTGCTTGTCGATTTATTGTTAAACGCACACCAAATTCATCTTTATTATTATAACTGCCATCATTTTCATCCTCACTCACATCTTTATCATCAGCACTTTATCATTATTGTCATCATTCATTCCATCATCATCAACACGTCACCATCATCATCATCACCTATTATTCAGATCACAATGGAAAGCCATTCCCTTCTTTTCCACCAACTCTTTCAGTCTTGCCACCGACCCAGTTACACATTCTTCGCTTTAAATAAATTTATTTTTTTACTGTTCTTATTTAATAAATTTTATCAATTAATTTAAAAAATATATCACTTATATTTTCAAAAACATTTAGTTAGACGTTGGTGTTGAATTTTTAAACGGTCTTTTGGTGTTCATGAATTCAGTTCAAAATAATTTTACAAATAAATCAATGTAATAATTATTTACATATGAAAAGTTGTTGGATAAAAACTAACACAGGTGTTGAACCTAGATTGCTGACCATATGGACGAAGAGACGCGGAGTGTTGGCTCTGTTCAAGTTTGGCAACTCGTGTGTAGCAAAGATACTTTATAAAGTTTCAGAAAAAATTTTATTTGGATTTCAATACATAGTATTTATTTATTCATCATCTTCCTCACCGTTATCATAACAACCACAACCATCATCACCACCACCATCGCCATCCTCATCATCGTCGTCATCATCGTCATCACCTGTTTTCTCGGAAAGCAGCAGGACTACTGGCATTCAACATCAAATGAACCGTGCCTCTAACTTTGCTGGCAAACTAAAATTGTGCAGGAATTTCAAGAAGTGGATTTTTCATAATTTGTAAACAGACATCACAAAAGTGTAATTAATATTTGTTTGAAAATAGCATGCAAGTTTTCAGTTTTGTACTTAAAGTTAATAAAAGAGAATACGAACGAACATTTGAATAAGCATCTAATCGTACAAACAAATAACTTTACACTAATATAAACAAACATACTAGACAAACATACTAGACAAACATACATATAAAACAAACAAACATGCAAAACGAACGTACATACAAAACAAACATACAAACCACCAACGTGTTTAGACATTTGTTTCCAAAATGCTCCGACAGCAGAATTGGGACAGTTTTCAAAACCGGGACACTGCTTGAAGTTCATGTCAGGTTTTCCCTCCTGTCCGCACCATACGTCTGAGTTCTTCAGTATGTACACTGGTTGCGTTTGTGTGTGTGCGTGCGTGCGTGTGTGTGAGTGTGTGTGTGTGTGTGTGTGTGTGTGTGTGTGTGTGTGTGTGTGTGTGTGTGTGTGTGTGTACAGTGAAGAAAAAGAAAAAAGTCCAAGAGAGAGAAGTGAGAGAGGTGTGTTTGTGTAAAGTGAAGAAAAATATCAAAGAGAGAGAGAGAGGAAAAGAAAGAGAGAGAGAGAGAGAAAGAGACAGAAAGAAAGAGACGAAATAGATTGAGAAAATATTGCATTTCAAATTGTCATTCTGAAAAAATGTTAGTAAAGTGATAACGTGACGTAGTAACTACCAGCCAGTTGGTCCCTTATTGTGGTGTAGGTTTTGCTGTAGGCAGTGTACGCAATGACAAAGTCGGTCATACCGCTCCAATACATGGTCTGTGTTAAGGTTGTTCAACAAATCATCTCAATAATGAGTATAATTTTTTCTATTTTAAAATAATTATTAAATCATTTTTTTCATATTAATTTTCATGGTTAAATGTCAAATCATTTTATATAATTAATGTTTGATATTACCGAAAATTTGTCTCCAATACTGAAAAAAGTGAAAAATAACGAGACGAAACGAAACAGTGATAAATAGCGAAACGAAACAAACCAAAACAAGCGGTGCAAAACAAAACGGTACCTTATCTTTCGTATCCATGTAATGATCCGCTTCATTCAGGAAATCCTGGTAATCTTCGGACTTTACATTGCATGGATCTTTGTACATGAATGAACTGGCAAACTTGTACCAGAGTGTAGAACAATTTTTTGGGTTGCTGGTGCGTTTTGGTAATGTCAATGCCATGTTTTTATTGTGATGTTAATGTCATGTTTATGTGATGTTAACGTCATGTTTTTATTGCGTTGGTAAACAGTCTAAAGTATAAACACTGGTATATAAACATTTCTGAATTATTGCACTATCCAATCATTTACTTTTCAAACAACTCCGGCTTGATAACTTCCTGGAACTCCTGACATCTGGCAATGAAAATATTTGGAAATGACATAGGAGTTCTTTGTGGCGCAGCTTCCAGCGAAGGCAGACTCAGCAACAACGTCAACGACAGCAGCGAGTTCATCATAATAGAACAAGGCATTGTAGACATTGTTGTCTTGTTTTGACTGTCGGTATTTAAGTTTTATAAAAAATTTTTAAAATCTGATGAATTCAAAATTGAAATAAAATCGAAAACAATTTGGTGTCAGTTAACTCATAACAAGTAAAACAATCAAAATTTCATCTTAAAGAATACCAGACCTCAATGAACAAAATTGAACATTGGTATTTCATTACAAAAACTTAAATATCATGGCAAACAACTAAACTAATCATGATATGTTATGTATAAATTGCATGAAAAAAACCCTTATCATAAAATTTGCAGGCAGCCCTTCAACCTTTTCGCAAAATAAAAGTCGTGATACAATGAAAAACAATGAAAAAATTGTCATCTTTTTACCCAGTGATCCAAGTTTGTGTTAAGAAAAAAAAACTTCGTTATTTATACTAATTTTTTTTTAAATACAAATCATCCAAGAACAAATTATTTTTAACTTAAAAGCAAAATGTTTTTTTTTTATAGAGAATGAATATAATCCCTGTAAAACTAAGCAGTAGGCAACATTAATAAACGAACTGACATGTAGAAAAACATGAACCTATGTTCTTGAACATGTATATAAATATATTTGTGTGTGTGTGTTTGTGTTTGTGTGTGTGTGCTTACCTAATTCGAATTCGGTATATGCAATATAGAGATTGCATAAGTTTATATAATCTGGCTGAACTGTGCGAACAAACAAGTCGTTTATATAAATCATCGTTCTCATCATCATATATATTTATCACCTAACTTATCTCTTCTTCTTCATCATCATCATCTTCTTCTTCATCTTAAGTCTGTACGTATGTACATGTTATGAGAAGAACATGATATATATATAATTATGTATTGTATGTATAATGTGACGTGTGTGTGTGTGTGTATTTATATGTGTGTGTGTTTGTGTACGTGTGTGTGTGTGTGTGTGTGGGTGTGTGTGAGTATTATTAAAATAATCACAATTTTCCTGCATTTGTGATGACACCATTCCAATCATCGTCGTCGTCATCGTCGTCGTTGTCTTCATCATCATCATCATCATCATATATGACTAATTGTTATCAAATCACCATTTTCATTTTCATCAACATAACCCTACCACTCACTAGTGCATCCTCAATTATATCTCCGTAAGTTTCATCCTCATCTTTATTATCCACTCCGCCATCTCATCATCCTTATTATAGTATCTTTCACTCTTTTTTTTTAATTTACTCTTTCTTTCTCTCTTTCTCTCTCCTCTTTCTCTTTCTTTTCAATTTACTCTTTCTTTTTCTCTTTCTCTCCTCTCTCTCCTCTTTCTCTCTTTTCATTTTTTCTCATGCTGGTTACAGAAATTCATTTCACCGCTCTAACAAACGAACAGCGACTAACTTACGTCGTTCAACTGAGATTTTTTTTCTCTTGAAATGTTCTCATTCGTTGATAGACTCATGTAATAATAATTACTGGGGAAAGAGTGAGGATGAGAGTGGAAAAAAGAGATTAGAAGAGAGAGAGAAAGAGAACGTTAACAAAGTAAACGGTGCCGAAAAAAATAATTTACTTCCAAGACATTTCAATGCCTCGCTTGCTATTGCAACAAACAATCAATTTGCTACGTACATTAAGTTGCATTTATAAACAGCATACACTCATAGGCACTCATTTACATGTACTGTACAATATATCTCACACAAGAGAGAGAAAGAGAAAGAGAGAGAGAGAGAGAGAGAGAGAGAGAAAAGTGAATGAGATATGAAAATGTATAGAAACATAGGTGAAAAATAATGCACGAGTACGATCATAACTCGATCTTAACCTTCAATATTAGCAATAATTTACGTTGAGTCTGTTCTATATGATCATAATATTATGTTGGAGGAAGTTTTTTTGTTACAGTCTAGGGTTAAGATTATGCCAATGGTGAAGATGATTTAAATGGTGAAAATGATGTAGATGATGAATGCTAATGGTGAAGATGATGATGATAAGGAAGTTTTTGATGGTAAAAATTGTCGCTAATTCTGGTTTTTCGTGCCATAAAATTTTAAATTCATCTGGGTAGTCTTATGAATGTAACTAAAATATTGTTTTAGTTAGTTTTCCAGCAATATTTACTATAATGATTTTATTTTAACTTTGAATGAATGTTGTGTTACGTTTCAGGAACGGAAATATTTACCATAATTACACAACGCCTCTTCTTTATCTTATCAAAAGCCTGAACTATTTATTTTTACTTAAACTTCAAGTTGAATGAACAATATTTATCAATATTTATATCAGATGCGTGATGTTTAATGTTTGTTAAAATTGATAAAATTTCCTCTCTAGTGTTTCTAAATTTGCATGCAATTTTATAATGAGAAGCTATGCAGATTTGTGTGTGTGTGTGTGTGTGTGTGTGTGTGTGTGTGTGTGTGTGTGTGTGTGTTGTTACGTGCATGTGCTTGAGTGCACCTACGTATGTGAGTTTGTCTTTGTAGATACGTTTGAAACGTATTTTGTATCTTTGTATGCTTAATTGAGTAGATAGATGTTTGATAGATAAATGGATGGATAGATAGATAGATGGATAGATATGATAGATAGATGGATGGATATGATAGATAGATAGGATAGATATACGGATGGATAGATAGATGGATGGATAAATAGGATAGATAGATGGATGAATAGAAGATAGATAGGTGAAGGCTAGGTAGATGAATGAATAAACAAATAAATACAATTTGTGTGTGTCCAATTACAATAGAGAATAAATAAACCTGCCTTCAGTAATGTATGTAAGCAATGTTTCATTGTGTTATAATTACCAGACTTGCAAAATTTTAGTAGGAAAACTATTTTTATAAGTCTTAATACGTGGGCCATTAAGATAAGAATGATTCACGTGTTCATTGACGAAAGAAATTTTCTAAGGAGAAACATTCTTAAATGTTTACCATGTTCTATTACATAGATGCGATGAAAAAAATTGGTTTGATCTGAGAGTTGTAATGCAATGTATATAACATTTAAATTTCAAAAACCAAGACAGTTTAATATAACTTGATTTTCATGATTAAACAGCAATCACAATTATTATGGAGAATTTTTTTATTGGGCCTAACTTATAAATAAACCGAAAAAAAACGTCATCTGTTACAAATATTTACATTAGCGGTTAACCCATGTCCACTTAGTTCGCATGGCAATTAGAGTTGCACCGGATTGTATTTTTGGATATTCGGTCGGAGTCGGATATAGCCGGATAGTAAAAACTGATATTCGACCGGAAACGGATATGGACGTATGAATTGCACGCTTTACTAGACAACAGGTATACACCAAAGACTGTTATAATTATTATCGTTTAACCTCTAAAATTATAAATGTGAAATATTTACAAACACATTCTTTTTTACGATATTTATTGACAAAACTAAAAACTGTTCAACAAAAAGTTATACTTCTTTTAAGACATGAAGGTAATGGAAACGAAAAGAATATGAAAAATTGCCAAATAAAAAACACTGGGCTGATGTTGTTGGTTAGAGTTTCTTGTTTGTTGTAGTTTTGGTTGGTTATCACATTTTAAATTGACTTTGCAGTCCCCTGATCTTGCACATTGGAAGAAGTAAATTTCTCTGAAAAATTTTTGAAATAAAATTAATAAATAAGGTTTTTTCGATCAAATTAATGATACGATATCAATTGGTTGATGATATTTATATCATTCTATTAACGACGAGTGATGTCACTTCGTTAACACACAATGTTTACGAGGCATTATAACTGAAATATACAATACTACTACCGAATGATTCATAATGAAGGTGATTAGCGCTAATTTTATAATAAAATTTAATAATAAATTTATAATTAATCACAAAACTTGAAAAAATTACAGAGTAAAAAGCAATCGACGATTATGAATGTATGAATGAATGAATCAATCAATCAATCCATCAAAACTATATAACGCAATTTATAAAAAGCGAGCGAACTCAGACAAGCTTGGCAAATTAATCAATCAATCAATCTTCGTTTCGCGTCCAGAGACCCATGTTTCCCGAGGTAGGACGTTGGCAAATTAGAATGTTTACAAAAAATATTAATCATTTCCAGACTCACTTGTTATCAATATCACACGTCATCTGAATCTTTCTTTTGGCAATGTCTTCCTTCAGTAATATCATTGAACCTTTATCGCATGTTTCGCTAGAATTTTTTTTTGTTTCCGATCAGGGAGTTAAATTTTAATTAAAAATGTTTGATTGTTATATCCTTTAAAGCTTTTAAAAAACATTTAAACATTTTATTTTACATTAAATATTGTAATGTAGAAATATGTTAAAATAAAATGAATTGTGTGATAAAGAAATACGTAGAAAGAAACAAAACATCAGCGATCTTACTAGAATTGTGAGTTTAAATTGCGGACGAGGTGCACTTCAATGATGGGAGTGACTTCGTGGTTTAGATTAGGCAGCTCGTATTCACTGAATATTCTGAGTTAAGAGGAGTAACGAATTTATGTCAAGAATTAATTTGGCATGTTTAGTTATGACGAGATGGATGAAAGAGTGAGTGAGTGGATGGATGGATGGTTGAATGGAGGAGAGGAGAAGATGAATGGATGGATGAATAAACGAATGAATTATTTAATTGATTATATAATGAATAAATGAATAAATTAGTAAAAGATATTCCAAAAAGGAACAAAAAAAAAACAAATTAGTCCAATTGTTTAAATATAAAAAACATTTAGTAAAACAAATACACAAATAAACAACAAATAATGATTGTACTACTATCAATGTTATCACTAAACACAATACCACTGCCCTATCATACAATCTATGCAATTAATGTTTCGGCACGGTACGCAAACGATTACAACAAAAAATTAATGGGTAGCCGAACCAAGTATACTCAACGATTTGAAATATTGAGAAATGTAACGATAGTCGCCTTCAAAAATCTTCCTTAGTGCATTTTTAAACATCAGTAACAATAATTAAACACAGACATTAATATAAAATATGAAAATTTAATATAAATATTCAATCAGAGGTGTAGTCATATGGGGTGGAGGCTTTCAGGTCTTAAGGTCACCCAGAGGAGAAAAGTTTGGGTAGGGTTGAAAATCCCAGTCACCCTCCGAAATCTTTCTAATAAAATTACTAAATTGACAAAAAAGTTGGCAGAAATAACGTACGAATTTCTTGAATACGGCTTTTCATAACTTGCATTCAACAAAAGCTGTACTCGACCTTTTATTTTGCTGGCAAACTTTTAAAAACTAATATCTATTATAATTTAATTTCTTTTATATGTTTAAAATTTTGTAAAATAAATGAAATGACAATGAATGAAATAAACTTAAGCATTAGAAATCATTATTACCACAATATTATTTTTTCGTTTTTTGTAATTAAATAAAAATATAAATGAGAAGTTAATTAATTATAATTAACTATAAGTAGGGCATTTATTTTTACATGTTTGGAAAGCTGTTTCCAAAATGACCTAACAGCTGAATTGTTACATGATCGATCGATGTACGATGGGCAGCTAGTGTAGTTGATACCGGGTGATTCTACTTGACCACACCAAACTTCAGATGTCTTTATTAAGTAAACTGTGTGTGTGTTTGTATATGTGCGTGTGTTTGTGTGTGTGTGTGTCTGGTTTTGTTTATGATTTGAACGTTTTATTGGGCAATATTATTATAAACTTAAGAAATAAACTGGTCTTAGGTCAACCAAACAAAAAATGCCGTTAAATTAGTAATTAAATATGAATAAATAAAAAAATAAATTTACTTTTTACTTGAATTATAAAATAATTAAAACAATAAAGTGGACAGTGAAATGTTGTCAGAGATGCATTCCCAACAACCAACCGACCTGCCAGCAGATCTCTTATTGTTGTCAGTTTTTTATAGGAGGTGTATTCTATCACAAACTCTGTCATACCGCTCCAATATACTGTCTGGTTTTTTGTTGTTTGTATGTATGTTTGCTTGCATGTATATTTGTATTTTGTTTGCATGTTGGTTGTTAGTGCCCTTGTATTTACTGTTGAACGTCGTAGAAATGATGCTGTATAAAACATTTAATTAATTGTTTGTGGAATTTGTTTGTTTGTATGATGGATGGTTTTCAAATTTTGTTTAAAACGTTTGGTTGTGCTGTGTTTTTGAATATCCCCTACATATCTATCTCTCTATAGCTTCCAAGTGTTATTATACTTGATGTTAACAGAGATTGTATCCATTGAATTAAAAATTATTTTTTTGTACCAACGACAGTTTCAATCCTAAACTAAGAAACAAACCTAAAATTTATTTTAATTTTAAATCATGTCCTAAGACGACCTTATCTTTAGTGTCGACATCGTGGTCGGCGTATTCAATGAAAGGCTGGTAGGCTTCTGGTGCCACATCACAAGGTCCTTTGAATGCAAATGATCCACTGAAGTGCTTCCATAAAAGTGTACAGTTAAGTGGTCTGTACATTTGCGTTAACAATATGAGATTAATTAATAATGATACGGTGATAAATAATAACGATACAGCGATAATTGATAATGGTACGGTGATAATTGATAACCGTACAGTGAAAAATAATAACAATACGGGGATGATTAATAACAATATGGTGATAAATAATAACAAAAAAGTAATTATTATTAACGATTGACATTAACATCACTAACATTCTGAAATTTTTATATAAAAAGCTTTTTTAAAAAATTAATTTCTATACTATAAACTATATACTTATTCTTAATAATATTCATCCAATTATATGTTGCTCAAGCAAGTAACCATTACTTTTTTTAAAATACCATTACACCATTACTTAGTAATGGTATTTTAAAAAATATTTATTCTCGTAGAAATACATTTAATTAATTACCTCAAAAATAAAAATAACATTAAACCATAAACAGCCAATCAAAAATTAACTGTTAATTTAACACAATTAAAAATTAATTAAACTAAATAAAAAAAAGGCCCTAGCTAACTTTTTGGCGAAGTAACCCGGCTTGACAACTTGTTGGTATTCTTCGCACCTGGCTTCGATGATTTGTTGAAATTTTTGTGGAGTTTTATCGGGAGCCCAAGCAGCACAAACCTGGAGTGAACATATCAACCACAACCACAAAATAACGGAGGAATGAACGCAATTACATCTGCAAGAAAACATGATCTTTAACGTAGCTTTGTTGCTCAGCATTGCTTTTAATTTAAATTTTAAATTAAAAGCTGTTGATCAGTTCGTAATTACATAAAAACATCCATCCTACATACATACGACATAGTATCTAATGTATAAAAATAAATTAGTAACAATGTATGTTTGCATTAATATGTATCAATATATATATTAATACGTATCAATGTATATATTAATATGTATCAATACTGTGACAATCTGAAGAAAGGGCCTAAAGTCGACACTGGAGTCGGTTAATTAAGATGGCGGACAGAAGACCGGAAAATGATAAAACAAAGACAATAGAAGAAACAATAGTGCAAAGAAAAGGAATATGTCGACGATACCTAGGCATTGTGTATCCTTATGTAAATTAATTAATATTTGTTTTTAAACAGATCTATCGTCATTATAAATTCTTTATCTATGCGTCAAGGCCAACACATAGAAGGAAATTACTTTGAGGGTCTTCAGATTTGTGTACGAACAAGAAATCAGCTCTCGGAATTAGACAAGGCAATTAGACTTCTCCGATCCCAGTGATAGCTCTTATCAAAATTCTACCATTACGACGAGAACTGTTTAAACATCCTTCAAAGAATCGATCTACAGTGTCAAAGGTTGATATAGCGTATAGTGAAGCGCCATCCGACGAGAAGATTTGTCATCGATTGCAAAGAGAACGAGAGAAATTAACGTCTGATTACTGTTGCTCATTGTACAACAAAAGCTGTTCCCATTCTAAAAAAGGTCTTTTAGAAATTGTGAACTCGCGCGATACGAATTAGAGGCGCGAGTCGTAACAATATGTTTTAGATATGTGAACAAAATATATGTAAATACAATGTTGATCAGTTTCTCAAACAATTAGCTAATATGCATAAATTTTGTAATACGTGATATTTTCGTTCAGAAAAGCTGAGTGAATCTATATTTAATTATTTAATTTAATTTTCAAGTCAAATGATTCGTAGTGCAATGATATAGTTTTTTTGTGTATATATAAGAATGTGTGTGTGTGCGTGTGTGCGTGTGTGTGTGTAACAATTATTTTTTATTTTTTTAAAAAACATGTACTTATTTTTTTTAAATGTAAAAAGTTATATTCAAACTCATGTTTCAGTTTTTCGATTGGTACTTGTTGATATTTAAATATTGACGGCGACAGATTGGATGAATAAGCAAACAAAATTTTTTGAGAGTATTTCATAGAGAACGAATGTATACAACATCAACTTAAAACACTTGATTTAATTTCAAATCCTAGCGACATTTCAGATCTCTAAATGGGAATAGATATTATTTATTCCTACTATTAAGAAGATTTTTCAATTTAGTTTCTGACTTAGAACAATCTGTTATATATATATATATATATATATATATGTATGTATATATATACACACACACACACACACATATATATATATATATATATATATATATATGTATATATATACATATATAATTCTTTGAGTCTTCTTTTCAGTTGTTTAAGTTCTTTCTTTAGGATGAAACAAACTTGCTTGCGGAAAATTATTCATAACTTTTCGTCGTTTTACAATATTCTACATAAAAAAATGTCGGGATATCCGTTACTAAATTATATATTTTCGTCCTCAGGAAATTGAGTACAACATGAATCTTAGAACAAATCACCGGCTTAACTCACTATAACTGCAATCCATTCCGAAAAATTCTTATCATAGTAGTGCTGTGATAACTATTCGGCCGGTTCAAGGGACGATATATCAAAAACGTCAAGATTTCTACTACCAAATTATACATTTGCATGCCAAGGAGATTAAGTGCTACATGAGTTTAATAAATAACTTCCAGCTTAATTCACAATATCAGTCTTGAAATCCGCTCTGAATTTCGTAAGTGATGGAGAAGTAGTCAGAGAAGTAGGTAGAGAGTTGCAGAGAAAAGTACCAAAAAAAGCAAAAGTAGATATAGCAAAAGAATGTTTGACACGAGTTAAGAAGAAGCGAGAACAAGAAGACGATCGTAAACCGTTTAGGTTTAATTAATATATCTAAGTACTTAGGAAATAATTTAGATTGAGATAATTTTAAAAATTATTTTATATTTTATAGGTAGCCAGTGCAAGAGAACAAAATATGGAGATATATGAGAAAAGAAAGGGGAACGAGCAACTAGACGAGCAGCAGAGTTAAAAGCTTTACTTAAAGGATAGAGTATAGAACCAGGAAGACCATAGTAGAGCGAGTTACAATAATCAATCCTAGATAAGACTAACGAAGTAACAAGAAAAAGAAGAGTAGGATCATCATGAAAAGGCATTTACTCCTATAATGTGTTTGTTATTTGCGTAATCTCAAATAGGCTGAAATAAGTAACAGAACTGAATAACTTAAATTATTTGATAGAATAAGTGAAACTAATCATTATTATATCATTAACTGATGAACAAAACATTTTTATTCTACATATATACTTCATTTCATTCGTATCAATTAAAGCTTTTTCTTTATATTATCTTTGGTTCGACAAATTAAAAATGGAGTGTGATGTGATGTGTAATAAGTGACTAGAAGCAGTTTTTGTCTATTTTATTGTATAAAAAGGCATTTTGTTTAAGAATTTGGACGCCTTTTTTGTTTTTTCTAAATTAGAGAGTTTAACAAATTTGTTTCTTGAAAATTTTTCTGTTGAAGTATGAAGTAATTTGTAAGTTTCTTAGTTTTTTTTTCCAAAAGAAGAAAACCTTCCATTTATTTATTTTTTTAAATTTTTAATTGGATGCGGAATTATTAGTCATCAGAATTTTTGTTGTTCTGTATTAGGCGTAAGTTAAGTGAAATACGTTTGTTTCAGCTTTGTTCTTAATTGTGTTGTAAGAAAAATAATTGCATAAAAAATGCTGGCCTTTGTTATTGTGATGTGGGGTGGTTTTGGGGCGTATATAATTAGAGACCCATTTTGTGTTTTTTTAATCCTAATTTAGTAAATTACTAATTAGTAATTTAGTAATTCAGATGATTTTTATTATTTTTTTTAATAACAATAAAGAAATATTAATATTTGTTTTAAAATGAAATGTATTTTTTAAACCAGATTGATCATCTCAAGAAAATCATTTAAGAAAAATCAATTATAAAAACCAAACTATATCTATACCCTTGATTTGACTATACCCTTGATTTGACTAGTTTTAGTTGTTTAAGAACAACTTAATTTATTAGTCGGTCTTATTGATATTTTTCTAGTTTGTTGGAAAGGTATTAATTGAATTAATTGCATGCACACGAGCCACAAGCTTGTATTTCATCAAGTTTTTTCGTATAAAGTAATAATTTTGTAAAAATAATAAAAGTGAGAATGTCTTTGTATTCGAGTTCAAATGACGAGGATATGAACAGTATCGAGGAATCCAAATCAATTGACGACTCGACTTTTAATACATCTTCAATGATGGCCTCATCTCTGGCACAGAAGTCATCCAATGCGGATCACATTCACTCTGCATTTGATTATTTTGAAGTATCGTCAAAAAATATAGAGATGCAATCATTATCTCGCAGTGAAGATAATCATTGTCGCAGCAACACCAATGAAGATGATGATTACAATGATAATGCAGATAGCTACAAAAACACAAGTTATTATCACCATTGCTATAAAAATGGTGATAAATTGCTAAATGACAATTATCATGCATCGTCATCAAGTTATCACAATCGAAGTATTAATGAAGCCAAACTTTTGTATCATCGCTACAACAGCAACACCAATGACAACGATGATGTTGCTCCTAACGATGCAGATGGTGACGACGAATTGAGGCACGTTATTGTTGATGACACATGTCGCTCCATCAGTTATAATTCTACTAAAACAACCAATGCATTCAGACAAGGTAGCTTCAACCAGACTGCTTATTCTGCTAATTCTAAAAATGCTATCAGCGACACTATCACCTTTTTTGGACCTCCCAGACATGACTTTGATGAAACTTTGCTCGAGGATCTGGAAAAGGCTGGTCCCATTCTCTCTTATAACTTTTTTCCAACTCAAAATTTTTTTTGACTTGGTCATTTTATTTAAATTAGTACTTTCTGTTTTTAAATGAATGGTTTGAGTTTGTTTAGTTTATAATACCAATCTGTTCTGTTCTGTTATGAATCACAGTTGTTTTTGATAGGTTGTCTGAGTTTTTTTAAACTATATTTTTATTTCACTTTAGTAGAAAATTATTAACCACTGTTAAATGTGTTTATATAAATGTTGATTTTTAAATCTGATTAATTAATTGTGATTGAACATTAACTTTTACAGAAGAACTCATCCGCAGCGACTGGGGCAACTGCATCTAATGTTAGCAACAACAATTCTAAGATAATATCTGCTCATGATTTTGATAGCTCAAGTACGTGGTTATTTATTTATTCATTTTTTTTTTCGAATTCCAAATTGGTTCTTGTATTATAAATACTTTTTAGAACTTTACAAAGGTAACATGATTACACATTAAAACTCTTGACAACTTAACTGAAATCTTTATGTAGTTACTTATTCAAGCTATCAATTGTTTTTTTTTAGCTAAGAAATGTTATATATATATATATATATATATATATATATATATATAAGCTCTTTAACCACCCAGTTGTTAAGGTTTCTATTGCATTGATGCAGACTGATCATTATGTTGAATATGATACAAATGAAGTTTAGTTGCTAGGTTTATTGGGTAATTATTTAATGAATTAATTAATTTTTGTTTATTGTTTGTTTAAAAGTCTGATCTGATCAATAGCACAAGCACATCTATCTCTTTTTTTGTGTGCTTGAGTGTGTGTGTCTGTGTGTGAGTGAGTGTGTGTGTGTGTGTGTGTGTGTATGTATGTGAGTGTCATCATTTTTTTTAATAGTTCATAATATGCTCAATAATTTAGAAATAATTTGATACATTTGTTTCTTATTTGTTGTGCTAATTTTAATAATTCCCTAAATTGGCCAACAATTTTTATGGGAAATATTCGAGTGATTTTCCTGGGGTTTATTAGGGTTTCTTTTTTTTCACTTGCTATTTGTATTGGAATGATTAGAAAATTTGTAACATAATAGCATTATCAGAATTCTTTTTATCATCACTGTCATTCTCAACATCATCATCATTATTACTATCACATTAACATTATAGTCAACATTCTCATCTCCTCACCATCGTTGATATCATCATCATCCTCCTCCTCCTCCTCATCATCATCATCATCATGTTATTAATATTGAAATTATCATGCAGTGTGTTAATTTATTCTAATGCCTCTGTCACATGAAACTGCAAGGTTCAGTTAATATCTATTAGTTAATTAAACAATTTAATTAATTAATTAATTGGTTATTGATAATACATGAACTGCATATTAACATAAACTAATCATCCATATATATTTATTGTTGTTGGAGTGTGTGGTTATATGTCTTATTGATGGTTGTTAGTGTAAAAAGAACGTTTAAATGTTTAGATTTTGGTTAATTTAATTAATGATAATCTTAAACTTTACATCATTGTTGATGATAAAAATATAACAATATTTGAATTTTTTTTTATCAGTACACTAATTATTTTGTTTTCATTTACAATTTTTTCCTTTGCACCCAGAGAGGGTAGATTGTAATTAAATTAATTGTTGGTTATATCTTGTTGAAGAGTTTTTGATGTGTGAATTTTTTCAGAAATCAGAGGTTGAAATTATTTTTAAACTTTATTTTCAACGTGAAGAAAATCTTTTTTCTTTTTCACACTGATGTTTTAAACATTCACTGGTGAACTTTTACAACTTTGATAATTCAACTTTATTTGATTTTGATAAGTGTCCTTAAATCACTTGTATCTCAGAATTCTCTCAGAATTGTCATTCTCAAAATCTCAGAATTGACATCCTTCTCAGAAGAATTCAGGTTCAAACTTCTTAAGGAGTGCCTATCTATAACTGATGACACTGGCTAAGATTAATGAGATACTCATAAATAAATCGGTATGAGTATGAATAAGTTGAAGCCGAAAAAAATATAATGTATCTATACATGTCTTTATATTTAGCCCATTTAACAGGATATGTTTAATGGGGGTGTGTGTATAAATATGAGTAACATAATTTCTATAGCATACTTATCAGGTTGAGTTGATAAAGCTAGATGCTGCTTGAAACATCAGGGGTTGATTGATTTGTTCAATTTTAATTCTTTCTTTCATTTTCATTTTGTTGTTTACAGAACTAACTTATCTACTTTTTTAAAGCAAGCTCTTTTAGTTTAGTGAACTTTGAAAATTAAAACATAAACTAAACATGCATTTTTTTAAATATTCAAATTAATAAAATTATAAAATTTTATAAAATAAGCAATCTTTAAGTTAGTATATTCTTAAGCCAACATACACTGAAGTTAAATTTGGGTTAAATACCTTTAACTGGCTGGCATATTGCTAAGATACAATGTATTAATTTATCTATGTGTGACTTACATTCTTAGTAAGAAACACTTTATGCATTCTAACTAACACAATTGAAACAAATTTTTATAAGTTCAAACATTTTAACAAACATATACCACAAATAAAAAAATGTTGTTCTTGTAATTAATATACAAACATACAAAACACAAGTGTCATACACATACAAAATACAAAAAAACATATGCATGCAACAAACTTCATGCTTATGTGTTCACTACAACAACAACAATATTCTTTTTTCCCAATCTCCTATCCTTTTTCTCTAGTTATGAAATTTAATATGGTTAATAGTCTTTAAATAAGTAAACAGTGTATAATGTTTCTATTCAAAAATATTATTTTGTATGTCTATATATGTATGTATATACAATCACATATATATTATATATGTATAATATATACATACATATGTGTGTGTGTGTTTGTATGTATGTGTATGTGTTGTATTTGTATGATTGCACACCTCCCTAACTATGCTTATAGATAATTGAGTAATTTAATACAACTCAAACCTTCAATTTTATTGCAAATCTTTTTAGTTATTTAACTTTTCATTTTTTAGTTTATTTGTTTATATTTGTAAATATATTTTTTTTCATGCAACTACTTATACTTTTATACACACTCACATATATGTGTGTATACATTCCTCTGACATTTTTCAAGTTTCGAATTGCTTTTTTTTACTAATTTTTTTCCTTGTTTTTTATAAATTAAATTTTTGGATAAGTTTGTAAATTTTTCATGGATAACTTCTTTCATGGGAGCTTCAAAAGTCATAGGCACCAAGATTGTTATACTTTCATTGGTTGACAAACAACTTAACTCACATCAATAGCAACATAAATACATATATGTATCATATCTTTACATATAATCATGAAACAAACATAGACAAATATACAAGGCACATTAAAATGTATACTGATAATAATTTTGGCCATTATTTAAATGTGTGCAATCTATACACATGCAAAAATCCATTCTGTATTAAGAAGCGTGGCTCTCTATTGAAAGGTAGCATGGTTGATTGGCTGGTTGTTTGGTCAGTTGGTTGAATGCTGGTTCAGTATCTTTAATTAACATTTATTATATTCAGTTAGGTTATGTTTTATTCCAATGACAGGGTTTTTTTTTAATATAGAGACCACACACATACACAGACACACACACACACACTTTTTGTAAATTATTTTATCTTAATATTTTATTTATGCTTTTCCCTTTACTGTTCTGTGGTTTGTAGTCGCTTTTTCAATTTTTATACATCCATGAGGCATGTGATATCATTGTTTTATTTGGATTTTTAATTTATTCTGATATCTTTATTTCATTAATATATCAATGGTAGCAGTTAGCCTAATGCCATCTTCTTCATCCCCAGCAGATGGAATTGTGAAAGTTATAAATGGCACGGAGATGACATCTTCCACTGTCAAGTTTCCTCATTCATACGCCTCTCCTGTTGTCTATTCACTGAAGAGTACTCCTAATGTGAGTTGATTGCTTGATTGGTTGGTTGGTTGTCTGGTTGATCAATTGATTGATTGTTGGTTGATAATGACGATTATTACTTAGTATGACTTGTGTTTTCTGGAAGTAGTGTTTGAAAAAAATGTTTCATTTTCCAAAATTTTTTCAAAACCTTCCTTGCAATTCATTCATTATTGAGTCTTTGTTAATCAATGCTCAGTGCAGGTGTGCATGTCAAATAATGAATGCATTGCTGAAATAGTTGAAATGCATATCCTGAATTGAGTTAATTTTATTGAGTGATTAGGTGCACTAAATAGGATGACTTAAAAAATTTGCTAATGCATTGTGATAAAGACAAATGTTTATGCTTATGAGAATAAAATGTGACATTTTCCTTGTCTAAATTGCAATGAATTTCTTTATAAGGATAGATTTTATGATTTTGTTCTTAGCAGACATATAATAAAAACCATAATTCAAGTTGCAAGTAAATAAATTGGATATTTAGTACAAACATTCAACAGTTATTAATTTTTCAACACCATGATTTAGGAGGGCACGGACTTTTGGAAGAGAAAAGATCGCAAGGACAAGAAGAAAAGGAAGGAAGAGAAGAGAGTTCAGACATTTCTATCAGATCAAGTTGATAACTACAAAGGAGAGGAACCAGTTGATGACATCTTAGCTTTCATCAACAATCAATCTATGAATCAAAGCATCGGTGCTGACGTTAAATCACACACTGGCGCTAGTGATGGCAAGAGGTCTAATCATTCTTCAAGCAATAACAACAGTACCCTATCTGAGAGCAGAAAGTCGAATGGTGGTCCGAAAATTAATGGTAAAGATAGTGGGCTAGGAAGCAGTAACTACAAGAAGCATACAAGCATGAGCGACGTCAATAATAACAACGTTAATGCTGCTACTATTAATGAAGAAAGTGAGAATAGCAATCTTCTTAGTGCACTAGATATCCTTAACAATAATAGTATCATCATTAAATCAGAAGTAATGCCACAACCAGCTCCAGTTAAGCATACACCAGCTGCAGAAACATCAAACATCAACCACACACCTTCACAATCTGTTTGTAAGATTGCACAAACTCCTGTTGAAAAAGAAATTAATCATGAAATTAACGATGATAGTAATAATCAGAATAATAAAAATGCCAATAACAATAATGACACTATTAAAAATATCATTAGCAAAGATGATGTTAGCAATAAGACATCAAAAAACAATAAAAGTGCTATTAATAATAAGTCATCGAGTTCTGAGGTAGTACAAGTTGATACATTCAAAGACACCTTCCCAATGCTAACCAACTACAAAGACGCTAACAACAACAACAGTAACAATAGTGGCAGTAGTGTTGTAGAGTTCAACAACAACACGATTGTCATTGACAACATTTACAGCTCCCCGGAAGATGCCGATGTGAGCGGAGGGTCGACAGATGCCGACAAATCAGGTTCCTCTAAGTTTGCATTTCAGAAAGGGGATTTTGTCACTGTTCAGAAGAAGAAGAAGATGAAATACCAACTGCAGCAGCAGCCATCACACAGTTCAGACACACCCACTGCATCTGGTTCCTCAAAAGGAAATCAAGACCAAAAACAATCAACTAATTCATTTTCAACTAACTTTCAGAATAATATGAAATCTTCGAGCTTCAGAACAAACCATCATGCCAGTGTTAAGATGAACTCTGACAATGCAGCTGACAACCAGCAACAGCCAGTCAACACTTCCTTGAAATCTACTGCAGGTGATGGATTTGCAAGCAACAGCAGCAACAATCAAAAACAAAATAAGACTTTTCAAGACAGAAGATTTTTCAGAAATGACCGATTGAACCGAGAGAGAAACGACAACAACTTAACATCTAACGTCAAATTAGCTCCCACAGTGAAACAACAACCACTTGCAACTAGAGCAAATAATAATACATCAGCAGCAGCTCAACAAACCTCATCAACATCTATGAAAACCACTCCAACTCACCAGCCTGCAGGAAAACCACCTGTGCTTTCGTACAAGTTGTCAGCAACAAAATCAACACCACCTCCATCGACATCATCGGCGACGACATCAACTACATCAATTGCAACATCATTTCCAACAACAACAGCAACTCAGAAAGCATCAGCAACTGTTAACTATTTCGATCCCTCACAGTTTCCAGAATTGTCTGGAAGGAGAAATTCAACGGGCAGTGCAGTGACTACCATTGGCAGTGGTAACGCCAGTGCTAACGACAGTGCAGATTATAACAATAATGCAAATAATAATGCTCCACTGTTTGAGGCATTAAACAAAAAGGACAGTATTAATCTTGTGAGTGTAGGTACATTTTCGTACGCTAATGTAGCTGCAAAGATGGTAGGGATGAAGGGTGCTGCATCATCCACTAATGATGCTAATAACAAGATGTTTGCTAGGAGAAGATCTCTGCAAATTAATTCAAATGAGGATTCCGCTTCTCCAAATTCACAATCAAAAAATGTTGCTGACGCTGCTCCAGCAACTTCTAATCAACCAAACAACTGTGAAACTGAATCAACTGAAAATGCTCAAAAAGATCAACAAACACAACAGTACATATCTGATCAGCAACCATCAACTCAGCAGTCGCAACAACCGCAGCAACTGCAACAACATCAGCCACAACAGCAGCAACACCAACCACCACAACAACAACAACCCGAGCTACAACCATCACTCTCAAGCCAACAACAGCAAAACACTCTGTTTGAAGTTAAAAGTAATGTAGATTCCATTGATGAGATAAAGCAGGACAACCCAGCTGAAGTTGTGAGCAACTCTCACATCAAGACCAGTTCATTGAAATCTGACGTCCCATCTCCACCAGCATCGACGTCATCAGTGACATCATCCATAGCAAGAAAACCTAAATTTCAGCCTGTGGTTTTCCTAGACAGCAGAAATGTTAATAGCAAAGATTTGGGCTCTGAAAATTCAGGGTTTTCATTTATATTTGATAGCAATTTAGATACAAGCAGAAGCAAGTTGACAACATCGTCATCCGAGCCATGTTTCAATATGTTAACAGTTCATGACATGAATGTTCTCTGCCAAAAGATTTGCTATAACAAAGGTGATTTGTCTTTTAATCCCAGTTTAGTTCATAACAATACACCTGCACCAGTGTTGATCCATGGACAACATCATCAACATTTTGTGCAAAATCAACAGTATCATCAGCAACATCAACACTTCCAGATGCAACAACAGAACCAACCTCGACATCAGTTTCAGCAACCAGATCTCATCAACCCTAACCAATATCACATAACGTCAATGTCAACAGCAGCAAACACAGCAACGATGACAGCAACTGTAAATGAAACAATGCCCGGTACAAACATCACGTACCCCGATGTGCGTGTACCTCCGCCACCATACCACCAGCCCGTGCAGCAGCTGCAACAGCAGCAACTTCATCATTACTCGATGTACCCTTATGAAATGTATCCATACAACAGTAGACCCATTCCTCCACTCCCTCCTCTGCCACGTAGCAAGCCGATTAGCAGAACACCTGTCCAGGTCGTTCCTCCAATGCCGCCGACGACGACCAACGCAGAGGATGATGTTCTCGTTATCGGCGTTAATGCAGGCTACCATCAGAATGATAACACCATGATCAAGTCAGTTAACGCCGGCACACAGCTCTCTGGTAACAGTATTCCATCCCTGCAGCAATGCCAACAGCAGGTTGTAGACGGTGTAACAGCTGCTGATGGCATAGAGGTAGATGACAGGGCTGCCGAGAGTAGGTGCTCTAATGTCTTGCATGAAGAAACTAGTAATAATTCATCTGCTTGTTGTGAGATCAAAATTCCTACCAAGAGCGAAGCACTTTTTGATGATTGTTCTGCTGCTGCTAAGCGAACAACTTCAACCGCCAACGGTAAGTTTAACAGCAACATAAAAAACTACAACTTCCAACATAAAAAGTCCAGTTACAGCAGCAACAACAACAGCAGCAGCAATAGTAACAGTAAGAGCAACGTTAATATCAACAAAAACGCTGACAACAACCACAATAATAATAGTGGCAGCAGTGGTAACAGCAACAACAACAGCAAAGGAAGCCTGGAAAGCAACTTCAACAGCAGCTACAAATCTTCAGGTTTTGACTTGGCCAGTGTTCAAAAGTACCTGTTCAATGGTTATTATCAACTTTTATTTCAGTATTTAAACTTTTTATATATCTAACTATTTTATATTTTTCAGTATTTTTTTTTTCAAATTTTTTTGAGGTTAGTATTTGAATTAGTCGAAAAAAGTAACCATTGAATTATGTAAACTCATGCATGTAAGGTTTATGTAGCTTTTAAAGTTCACGAAAAAAGTAAGTAAGATAAATGTTGAAGAGAATTAGAATAAATGATTCTACCTCTGTCATGATTATCTAGAAACTCATGGGAGATATATTTAATTGACAACAATGAGATTTACTATATTTCTGATGATGGTCGTGTGGTGATGATGTTAAGATGACGATGAGATGGTGTAGTGTAGAGGATAGAAATGATAATGTTATTGTCGATGATGATGATTATGGTAGTTCTATTGGTTTCTTTGCTGATTGTGATGATGTTAATGATGGTTACTTTAGCTCAGAAGCGATGTTGATGGTATGACAAGAAGACTGTGAGGGAGACGATTTTGATGATGATGATGGTGTTGGTGATGATGGTATTAATGAGGAAGTCAAAGACAATTAAATAATTTTTTTTGCTGTTTATTATTCTGGTTTAAATTTATTAATTGTTTTCCTATTTAAATAATGGTTTCATGAAATCAAAAATCAGATCACTATCATCTCATGGCTTATTTGCATTTATATAATTATATGCTTGGAAAACTTTTAAATATTGCGAATTTCAATATCTTCATCATCATCATTATCCACATCATTATTATCCACATCATTGTCATCATTATCATTATCAACATCATTGTCATCATTATCAACATCATTGTCATCAGCTTCAAGATTGTTGTGAGTATTAACAAATTATTATTGTCATAACCATCAACAACAATAAGTGGGCTATTTGTGAAAAAATAAGAAATTGTATGTAATTGGATTATTATATATAGCTTAATATTAATTTGATAGTAATTTTTTATTGAAATATTATAACTATTTTATCTCTACATATGTTCCATTACAGCTTTTGAAAAATGCATGAAAAATCTTGAAGAAAGTGAGCTTACATTTTTATAAATTTAAGATATTTATAAAATATTTAATTATAATCTATTTAATTATAATATTTTCTAGCCCACATAGCAGGCATTCATATAACACAACAGGCTTGAAGCTTAAGCTTTGGAAAATGTGAAATTTTTATTAGCAATGATTTAAGTATAATCATATCTTGAATGATTGATTTTGTTTAATTAACATTTATTTAATTATTATCTTATTAATTTTTATGTATCTAACGCATTTTTTCATAATAGATAATGATCCTACAGTCAACTAAAGAAGAAGATGATACATAATACATTTGTGATAGTTTACTTGCTACAGACATTTCTACTAAAAAAAAACTCGCTCGCATTTTGGTATGGCATAATTTTTTCTAGATAAAAAAAAAATGTATAAACCATTTTCAAAGATTTCATGATTTATCAAGTAGCTTTATTTATTAATTAAATAATTTATTTATTTATATAATTATAGAAATTTATAAAATAAGTCCAAATGTTAAAAGTTAGTTTGCATTTTTATTTTTCTTTATTTTACTTATAATTATTTGAATTCATAAATTAATTTATATGTTCATTTCTTTAATCTTGTTTTATATAAATTCATTACTCGCGCGGGTGTCTGTGTGTGTGTAATTTGGTATATGTATATATATATATATATATATATATATATATATATACATGTATATATACACGCAGATGACTGGTATACAAACTTAAAATATGTACATGTTATTTATAGTTTATATATGTATATTATTTCATTATTTTCATGGTTTCAGCATTTAATTCTGTATATAACTGAGAAAGAGAATCTATCTGAATATGTATTTAAAAAAAATTTGGACATGTTATTATTGAGCTTGTTAGCACGTGTTACTGTGTAAAGATGCGTGTTACTTGTAAAAAATTGCGAAAATGTTATTACCAAGCATTGATTTTATTTGGCACGCATGGTCTGCGAGTTTTGTATTGAATGTAAAAAGCCAGATGTTAAGCGTCATCGTCACAATCAACCATATTTGTTAGTTTAAACGTTTGGACGTGAATGCATCCATGCATTTGTTCATTCATCTGTTTAATCATTCATTCATTTATTTAGCCATTCATTCGTTCTTTCATTCGATCATACATTCATTCATTCTCACGGCATTCACTCTGACTATCACCATGGAAGTTCATTTCCGCATTTGAAACTTGAATTTCATTAAATATGTACCTTTTTATTTTCTTAAGAAAATGTTTAGTTAATTATTGTTCATCCATTTTTTCATTTGTTTCTTTTATTCATTCATTAATTCATTCATTCATTCGTTCATTCATTCATTCATTCATTCATTCAATCAATCTTTTTCACTAAATTTTTGAGAATCAGAAAGATAACTTTTCTGTTGAAGTTTTTCATTGGAACTATTTCAAAGTTAACACGGTTAATTAATAATTGATTAATTAAATAATTATTCAATTATTTAATAATATTAGTAACTAACGGATTACTAAATTATATGTACATATATTTATTATATATAATATGTATGTAAATATGTAATAAATATATATATGCGTGATTTATATAAAAATATATATTTGATGTACCTTTGCTTTGAATTGTGTTAAAGTGTGTGTCGATCAAAATGTTTGAATGGTTTTTCCAGTTTTTCAAAAAAAAACAATTCTGTTTTTTTGTTTCATATTTGCTTTTTATTATTTGCTTCTTTTTTATTTATTTATTTATTTATTCTATTTTTCTAAACGTGCAAAAGACATTTTAGATTTAATGTAATGGAGTGTAAAGTTATGTGTGTATATATATAAATATATGATAATATATATTATATATATATATATATATATATATATATATATATATATTCAACGTGTAATATATATGTATACATTGTATAGCATGTGTGTATATAACTATGCTTATATTTATATTAATAATGAAGATTTTATATTTTATAACACCCACACACAACATACAGAACAGCACATAGATACCCAACACACGCATGCACACAAACATTCACACACACACACACACACACACACACACACACACACACACACACACACACACACACACACACACACATATGCTATATATATTCAAATAGGTGATATGATGTAAAACTTATTTAGATATGTAATATAATGGTATATATATATATATATATATATATATATATATATATATATATATATATATATATATATATATATATATATTGAGGAGAATCACAGCATGTTCCGCGTTTGTTAACTTCCTTGTTAGTTTTTCTACTTTTCTAACGGTAGATCGTAAATCATTAAATAGCTAATTAAACGACCTTCAAGTATTCACATTGAACAAACAAATAATTAACATTGTAGAGACACAGTTATATATATATATATATATATATATATATATATATATATATATATATACTCATACTTGAGCATCTGACCACATACACAACGTATCAATTCGTACACCCAAGATGGTATAGAAATACCGAAAAAAGCTTTTTGTCCAATCATGCTTAAAATTTTTTGGTTTTGAACTCAAGAAACTTGACAATGATTTACGATCTACCGTTAGAAAAATAGAAAAATTTAACAGGAAGTTATTTAACGTGGAACATGCTTTGATTTTCATCAATATATATATATATATATATATATAATATATATATATATATGTATCATATATTCTTCAGTCCATGTATATATATAGTGTTATATGGTTGTAGTGTAGTGTCAATACATAAGTGGATGAGTGAGTAAATAAAATAATGTAGAGTATCTTTTGTTTGTTTATTTGCCTGTTCGTTTATTCATTCATTCAGTTAGTTATTCATTCACTCGTTCAACTATTTTTATATTTCATGTGGGAAGTAACTGGTTAATATGTTTTTTTTTTATTTTTCTATACTTTAAGCAATTATGAATTTAATTAAGTTGGCTATAGTAAGATTTTTCAGTGTTGTGTTGTAGTTTGTTGATTTTTGTGTTTTTGTTGTTCATTCTTGTGTCATTTGTTGTTAGTTTGTGTGTGTATTGCCGTGTTCTTTTGTTTCTATGCTGTTATCGTTTTGTATTTGTATGTTTAGAACCTAAGTTCTTTTTTATTCTTAGCTTAAGTTGACTCTGAAATTTTTTTTCAAGGATTTTACTCCTTTTAGGTGTGCCTGAGAGTGTTGACATGCTTTCATTTAAACTTGTGCTTTCGCCATGTGTACGCTTTCTCGTTTATCTGCCTGTCTGTATATCTTTTTGTCTGTACGTTTGTATATCTTTTTGTACATTTGTATGCAGTCAGTTTGTATTGCTATTTAGAGTTTTGTATATTCATTTGTAAAACTAAGTGTGGGCGTTTGTGTATGTTTGTATATTGGCATTTATTTATTACTGTATAGATTTTTTAGCATTTTCTCTCTGATCTATTGTTTGTTTGTCTTTTTTTTTAGTTTTATCCAGATGAGTTTTCATTCTACCCACTCAACCTTCATCTTGTAGCATCGCCGTCATTTCTTGGCTGTCATCGCCATCATCATCATTTTATCGAAGCCAATCAGTTGATCGATTTTTTTAAAAAAAAACGTCTGATTGGTTGATTACAAATTGAATGATTGATTAGCAGTGCAGATGATTGATTTATTATTCTTTCGAGTGAGTAAATGTTTGATTGTTTTCCCAAGGTTACCTTGCATCACTCAATTCACCACTTACTAAATATTACATATATATATATATATATATATATATATATATATATATATATATATATATATATATATGAATAGAGAAAAAAAAAGAATGAGTAGGAGAGAGAAAGAAAGAGAAAGAGAGAGAAAGAAAAAAAAAGAACAATACACTATGTAAAATAAACACATGTTTGTGTGTAATTTATACGTGATATATATATGTATATGTATATATATTCACCATATATATATATATATATATATATATATATGGCGAATTAATTCATCTAATTAATTATTTCT